CACCATTGAAACGGGGCGGCCTGCGGAAGAACTGAAGCGTGTAGCCATTCTTTCTTGATTTACTAACCCACTCTGATACCCCTGGCAGTGCCTGCCATGCTTCTGTGAACTGTGACAGCGGGCCAGTTGGACTGGACACCGTGAGGGATAACTCGCCGTTGGGGGACGAGGAGTTTAATACCACACGAGTGTGAGAGTGAGTGATGGGGGAGAGGGGAGTGAGAGGAGGAGAATTGCTTTGATATTGAGGTGAGTTTTGTATGTTTTTCGACTTTATTGCACTGCATAGTGGAACAGTCAAAACACAAACATGACAATTGCTCTCGCTGCCCGCAACAGACAGGGGGGCGTGGTGAACACACACAGCAGAGTGAGCAGATTTTTTCAGCGGCTCTTCTCCGGTGCTGGGTGCAGATTTCCTCCTCCGAGAGACAGCATCAGGAATGTGGCTTTGATTCCGGTGCCGGTGGCCTGCTGTCTCTGTCATATCTGGCCCTTCGAGCCCTGACGGCGCTTCAGCCAAGGCTGTCTTGGTCTCACCGCCGGCTCATGTTCGCGCCGAACAGCAGCAGAAGAGCCGTGCGGTCTTCCTGCGTGCTGCGCTGAGGAGGAGCGGGAACTCGCAGGAGGGTTCGCGCCGGTGCGCTTTGGCAGGAAGTGGTTAATAGCCTTCGACTGCTTCTGCGCTTCAACGAAGCGCTCCGTGAACGTCTCTACCGCTGCTCCGAAGGCCAAGGCTGTCTTGGTCTCACCGCCAGATCATGTTCTCGCCGAACAGCAGCAGAAGAGGTGTGCGGTCTTCCCACGCGCTGCGCTGAGGAGGAGCGGGAATGCACAGGAGAGTTCGCGCCGGCGCTTTGGCAGGAAGTGGTTAATAGCCTTTGACTGTTTCTGTGCTTCAACGAAGCGCTCCGTGAACGTCTCTACCGCTGCTCCGAAGAGACTTGAGGGATTCACAGGAGCATCCAGAAGGGCCGTTTTTTTCAAGTCCTTTAACTCGGTCAGAGTAAGCCACAGGTGACGATCTAGCAGCACAAGATTCCACATGTTGCGGCCGATCGTTCGAGCTGTCACCTTCGTCGCTCTGAGGGCCAGATCCGTGGCGCATCGGTGCTCTTTGAACACTTCAGGGTCCGGCCTGTCCTCATCCAGAGACTTGAGTAGCTTGGCCTGATACACATCATACACAGTATCGCCATCACGTGCAGTGCTGAAGCTGCTTGGCCCGCCGCGGAGAAAGCCTTGCCGGCGAAGTTTGCAGTGGCGTGGCAAGATTTAGAGGGGAGAGACGCGTTGTTTCTCACTCTCCAGTTCGCCGCGGCTGAAGGACAGAGATGGGCAGCAAAGGCTTCTTCCACGGGGGGGAGTTTAACATACCCCACTTGTTCAGCGCCATCCACAGAAGACAGGAGTAGGCCATAAGGTGAGCTAGGAAAAAGAGGCTAGAAAATGATTTTCGTTCCCACGCCTGGGCGTAAATGTGTAGCCTAGTAGTGTAGGCCATAAGGTGAACTAGGAAAAAGTGGCTAGAAAGTGATTTTCGTTCCCACGCCTGGGCACTACTTTTTAAATGCATTTTTGCATAGACAACACCATATTGGACTTTATGTTAAAAGTTCTCCGCAAAATATCCTGCAGTTTTTTGTCACGATCCATAAATGTGTATAATTGTGAATTAAAAAAAAAAGGAAAATCTTATGCTGCTGGTTTTGCTTATAACTTTATTTATATTCATTTTAGCAAAACAAAATATATCTTAAACTGACCATTATACATGTACCTTAACATTTGAGAAATATATTGGTGCATTATATACTCAAGTGTGAATGTAGACCATAAAATATGGCAAATTTCTACAAAATACGCTTCAACTTCACGGATTGGCACCAAGCAAAATTAAACATACACATTGTAAATTTAGCAAAACTGTGATGTATTATACATCAAAATTTTCAGTAGGCACTGTGTAATCACAGAAACATAAAGAAGAAGCACACTTTGGCCCAAATTGGCTAAAATGACTCAAAATGCGACCACACCCCTCTTAATTATGAATAATGCCAAAAATGAACATTTCTACAACAGATTCATTGCAGCTGAAAATCAGCTGCCAGAACTTTGTCAACTAAACATTCTCCACCTTTGGTTTCCAATAAATCCAAAAGAGCTGATTTGTTTGTTTTAGCAAGTGAACCATCAGCACTGGCTAAAGGATATGATACCGTTCCCAAGGAGTAGGACAGAATTTCCCGCAGGTCTATCTTTCTACTTTGACCTATGACGAGTAGTCTGGAAAATAGCTTCTTGTCGGCACGCAGAATCACTTCCTTGCCTGCTGCCGATTTCTTTTTTGTCTTTGCTTGGTCACTTAAGGTCTTTAGTTTTTGTGTTTTGATGGGAGCAAATATATCAACTGATGGTGATAATAGTCTTTGGTCCATAAACTCTTTGACAGCATTTTCCCCTTTTTCCAGAGCTGTGAGCAAATCCTTCATTATTTCTTCAGCTGCGACTGTCCCAGAGCTAAGACACACAATGCCATCTTGGTGTGTGTCAAAAGGATTCAGCATGGAATCTAGGGTGGAAATTATTCTGGTCACAGCCTTTTCATCGGCATGAATTCGTGTGCTGTCAAGGTCTTTACGTTTCCTTATATCAGGAGATGTACCTGCCATTGCCTCACATTGTCTTGCTATGGCTGCTCTTTCATGTTGCGACAATATCCAGCGATATACTGCAGCTCGATTCTGTGTTATCCCTGTCCAACCACCCTTTGTCTTGGAATCTCTGTTGCATGTTTGCTCAATGGCCTGGTCACAAGCAATCGAGGCAAATCCATGGACACTTTGACGTTGGACAGTCCACTGGCCTTTAACACTGAGTTCGCTGTGGCAAGAAGGATGTGTGAGGGGCAAATTGACCATTTCCAGCCAGTATGAAGGTAAATACCTAGCATAATTTACATGATCGTATGCAAAAAACCACGGCATCATCAAGTGTACTGTTGACAGGTGAAGCTGCCAGTCCGATTCTCGTGTTGCTCTCACAAACAGAAGGAGTATCTGTACCATGTTGATGTACAAACTCCAGAAGGCAAACGTTGGGTTTTCTGCACTTCTTCTTTTCACAAAGTCCACATATTTTGAACACATTTTGTCAAATTTTTCATTTGCACACAAAACATCCATGGTTCTGTCCTGGAATGCACATTTGATTTCACTGATGACATCCATACACTCATTTCTCTCCTCTGGTGGCAAAGAGTCTAAGAAGGTGAGAAATCTGATGCGTTGCAGACTCTCATACAGAAGTTTGTGTGCCCTCATGCTGCGGTTGTAGTGATGACCACTGATCACTCCACTGATGGATGCTGGGGCAACAACTTCGGACTCAATGAGTATGTCTTGCAGTCCTGCATCTCCAAACCTTTTTCCTAGAATGCTCAGGTAGGACATGCATGTGTGAAATTCACCTAGTCTAATCACTATACGATGAGTAAAGTCATTGTCTTTCCAGCGGATTTGCTGAGCTTTGGCATATATAGCTTGGTCAAAAACTAACACTATATGGTCCAGTTCTAGCTGATCAGCAATTTGGACACTTCGCTTCAGAATTGTGTTTACTGTTGACATCTCTGTCGGTGAAGCCTCAATGACTGGAAGATAATACAGTGCTGACTTTTGCAGAGTGCCATCACCTTTAAGCAATGTATGGAAACCTGTCCAGCTTGGGATTGTGCATCTTTCAGCATCTATGGACTTTAAAACAACATATGCAAGTTCAGTTTGTGCAGCAGACATGGTGTTCAATTTGTATGTGTCTACCTGTAATGGAATACTTTCATGATGAAACAAGTTCTGTGGTCCTTGTCTTTTAGACTGATGGTACTGTTCGATAGGGATGCAAGGGGGTGCTTTGAATGAGGAAACTCCCTTCTGTAGTGGTTGTCTGTTTGTTGTTGACACAGGTTCAACTACAGAACTTTGCAGCATAATCCCATTTGTGTGGTGAGTAGTTCCACGACCTGATAATGTCTCCTCCCCAAAGTCAATATTGTCCCACACAAGTATTGTAGGAACCTTCTTTGAGAATCCCTTGGGTATTTTGTCTCTGCCCTCTACTAGTTGAAGTTGGGCAAGTTTACTGTCTAGACTGACAACTGTGTCCCATGATGCACAATGTCCTAGTCGATTTAGAAGTGACACAATTTGTGATGAACCTGTTAAATGGCGAATGGTTAGACCAAGACACAAGGATTTTGGTGTCTGCCTTCGGCCCTTAGATGCGAGATACACAATGTCTTGACAAATAGATATCACTTTTAGGTTCAAATCATCTGGAATATCAACATAATGGGCCAGTGTTGGTTCCTCAGTTGCACCAATAATCCAGGAAATCAGATTGTACAGTTCGAGTGGCACAACAGATTTTGCTTCACTCACATTTAAATTATCAGACGTGGGTGGCCATGGACATGTCATACCGGGAGAGTCACATAGAAGCATCTTTAATATCAGTGCTGCACTATAAAGTGTCCTTGTGTCCTCTGTAGTATTGATAGAGGCCACTGAGGTTTGTCTTTGCGGACCAGATGTTGTATTTGTTATGTTTTCACCATCACTTTGGCTAGTTACCTCAGTTGACTCTGTTGTTTCTGTACCTGATGGATGAGGTAGCCTGTCTATCAGCTTGTCTGCAGACAGTGTCTCAACAAAAACCAGCTCACTGATGTTGCGCTTGTTGGGCGAGTGAAACACCAGCTGGGGGAAATCACGGATCAACCTCCTCTTCAATTTATCCTGCCTTAAACAAGATACAACGAAAGATGAAATGGTATAAATAAAGATATATTTACACTGAAAACAATTGAGTTAAAATACACTGTGTATCAGCTTTAACACATTATATAATGATTATGATTATCATTATTATAAATTCAATTTTTGTAAGAAAAAATAAAAATGTTGCATAAACATTCTTTCCAAAATGTACCACAATTTTTAATTATCATTTGATAATGCAATATAATAACTCACTGTTCTTCTGAGGTCCCAGTAACTGTTGCAGTAGACTTTGTCAAGAACCTGGTGTACTGTCTGTAACTGGACTTGTGGTATCGCACCTCCAGAGACACACAGTCTTTGTCTTGCATATGCACAAGAATGCTAGTGTCTTCTTTCATCTCAGCAGCTTTCAGCAACTGGCCTGTAAATAAATATATAAATATAATGAAACAAATTTGTAAATAAAAGCTATTATGTAAAAACTGTGTTAACAGTTAAGCAATATTGAGTGTTCTGGCTGTAGCTGTATGCAAAATGCAAATCTGTAAACATTAATTTACGTAATTGTAATTTAAATTTAGCCATGGTGTCCAGCATATGGCATAAAACTTAAAAGTTCAAACGTGTGTTTGTTTACCCACCTGCTGACAATGTTTCTGCCTGTGAAAGATGGTCCTTCTGGCGTTTGCCTGCCACAGTAATGTACTTGTCCGTTTTCTTACAAATGATGCACAAGGCAGGAAGCACAGGACCTGCACAAGCTACTGGCAGGCCCGTCCTGGACCTAAGTTTTTTTGTCGGACATTCAGTTATTGAGGTACTACTACTCGATGACACAGACTGGTCTTTGTGAGCATCTTGAACTTCAGGATGCTGTGTGACACGTTTCTCTGCCGCATCCAAGCGCTTTTTGTCAATGAAACGCCTGTAGCAAGTGGAATGAAACCCAGCGTCTTCGGGAACATTTTCAAACTCGATTTCTATACAATGTTTGTATGTTTCTGCTATTGTCTGATTCTCACCCTGCAAACCAAGCCACCGTTTGACGCTATTTCTGAATGTATCCCATCGTGTGCGTGTAAAATCCTTTGTTTCTTCTTTCTTTATGGACGTGAGATGCATATAGCATTGTTTATAATCCTTTTTACGGAGTTTTGAAGGAGGTCTGGCCGTAATTTCCTCTTCTTCGCTACTCGATATTGACAACAAGGGCGCAGACATCTTGGACTCATGTTTACATGTCGTTCCAAAAAGCGGCCGCCTTATTGGTCGTGCTTCCCACACGTGACGCGAAGTCTAATCACTCATGATCAAAATATGATTACGCGAGTAAGGAACTATTGCCGACTTTAAACACTTATAAAAAATAAACTGCAGGATTATACATGGAGAACTTTTATTTTCTCGCTCAAAACCAATAGATATTTTTATTGGAATGAGAAGAATTTAGTGCCCCATATATGGGAACGGGATTAAACGAAAAACGGCTTCACCTTACGGCCTAGAGGGAGGATCCCGAGTTTTGCACTCGACTTTTGAGCGGTGCATTCCATGACTTCGTTATCTCATCGTGCACCTTGGGGAAAAAGGGGCCGGGCCTCCGCGGGGTGTCCTTTCGGCTGCGATCCGACTGGAGGTACCACTCATCCAGACGGCTTCTGGCCGGCTCGGCAGGAGGCGCCCACTCCAATCCGAGCTCATCAACTGCCTTGGACAGGACACTAAGGAGCTTGACATCACTATGATGGAGGTCCCCCGCGTTGCTGCCGTGGGGCGCAATGTAATACAGCGGGCTGTTAGACCACTTCTCTCTCGCAGACGCTGCCACCGAAATGGCATCATCCTCCTCTTCAGCGCCCTCCATGGCACCGAAGGACACCACATCTTGAGCGATGGGGGAGGGGCGGAGAACAGCGATCATGGAGCGCACTGGAAGGGGACCTGCAGCAGGGGGTTGAGGAGCGCGTGGGCACTGAGCCGGCACAGACTTGTCACCTGACCCTGACAGATCCGCATCAGAAGCTCGGGGCACTTTCCTCCTAGGCTCGAAAGAGGCTACAGAGGAAGAGCCCGGCAGGGCTAGTTGGGCGAGTTCATCGCCTTGGACGATGGTCACACGGAGCTTGAGAGTCCGGAGGCTCATATCTCCGCAGTGGGGGCAGTCCGACTCCCCAAGCACCGCCCCTGCGTGGGCGCGTCCCAAGCAGAAGACGCACGACTTATGGCCATCAGAGAGTTCGATTGGCTCTGCGCAGGAGAGGCAATCGCGAGTCACCGGAACACAGCAGGGGAAGAGAAGGCGTGTCCACTGCAGCGTGTAGATCACGGTGAGTTGTCTTGTTGATAGGCTTCTTGCTTCTCGTAGAAGGTTGGCTGAAGAAAAAGATTCTGAATAGATGACGTACAAGCGCTGCTTTATATAGAGTGGGAGCCCCTCATATTTCGCGCGCTTGAACACCATTCGCCAGTTTCACTAGCATGATTCAATAAGGCTTCAGTAGTATTTGGAGGAAAGGGTATTTCCCATAGCAGTGTAGAGTGACCGAATCGAAAGGGAACCCTGAACAGAAACAGTATTTTTATTTTTTGTTTTGTCACATGGCCCCGCATGTATCTAAATGTAAAAATACAATACATGTATTTTTTTTTTTTTTTGTCCGGACCTTTGCTTGGAAGAAAATATAGAGGCCATGCCTCTTGGAACTGTAATCAAATAACCCTGACTTATATCATAAATAAATGCTTTATTTGTATGGTTTTGTAATATCTGTGTCAAATATTTCCTTATGTGTCATGGTAGATCGGACTCTTATTATAGAATTTGATTACAGAAAAACTGTTTTGAACATGGTAATGGATTAAAACATATAAGTAACAGGCTGGATGTACATTAACCTTACATCTTAACGCCTCTGTTTTTTTTACAAAGCAGATCATAGATCATATATTTTGTCTATAGCCTATAAAACAGCTTCGTAAATAGGACATTTTTATACATGAGGATTCTGTATGAGATTTTTTTAACAAGCCATTAAATGACTTGAGACTCGACTCAGACTCGTGACCAAAGACTCCAAGTTAAAGACTTCAGACTCGACTCAGACTCCGAGATAAAGACTTGTGAACATCTCTGATCTATAGGACTAATTGTGAATTTACAGCTTAAAAAAATAATTGACTTTATATTTTACATATATTTAGGAGTAAAATCATTTTCCAACATTTTTTTTCTTCATCTGACCTTTGACCTTTTTTTTAGGGGTCCGCCTTTGTCCTTTTTTAAGGGATCCGTCATTTATAACTGACGTTGTCCCATTAGGGTAAATTATTTTTGGCAAATTGTCTGAAACTTCACACACAATCAAATGCTTTTTCACTATCTGAAAAGAAGTGAAAAGGTATTACTGTTTCAAAAAACATTAAAAATCTTTATGAACATTCCATTTTTTTCTTGTGCTGCTATATTTGATTTGGAACTCGCACGTGAAAATTCGGATGCAATTTCACTGCCTGAAAACCATGTCTTAGTGTTTCAAAAACATTAAAACAACTTTAACATTGTGTTTAATCTTGTAATTTCAAATCAATTATCATAGCACAAGTGAAAGTCAACAAGACTCTTCTTTTTCAATATACCCCACATGTCCCACACATAAGTAGATGTTGACTTGTGCCGTCATCATTGGAGCATCGCTGCCTGCCAGTATAGTAATGCCAATAGACATTGGCATCTTTCCTGACCTCTGGTTGTTGTATGGATCACATCTTTCAAACTGGCATACAATAATGTACCCAAATGCCTGACTTCCACAACAACCTATTCTTCATCACTGCCCTCACCCTCATTGCTTCTATCCTCCTTGGTCCTCAACAACTTGTTTTATTACTACAACCTGATTTTCTGATGCACTCATATCACTATCATCAATACTTTCTGAAATAAGTACAGATTTGTCTCTCCATCTTCCAAAAATCTTACAAAAATGAACCTAAAACACATGCGTAAAGGCTATAATACTGCCTGCCAATGCTGGTCAATAGTGCCAGCTACACAAAATATGCATCACATAATAGGACTTGCATTTCTGCAATGCATGACGCTCAGATTTGTTGGTCTCTGAGTTGTTGATTTTTATAAAAGTGCATTAAAAATGACAAAAAACTTTAGAAAACACATTTGGATGTACAATTATATTTTTTATAACTTGAATTTATATGTATTTTCTAGTCTAAAATGAGCTCACTATGAAGCCTTGAGAGCATGTGACCTAACGTGCTAATGTCTCCTTTACTACTTAGTCACCAAAAATGTGAAGCACATGGCTAATAAATTTTAATTTTACTGGTAGAAGGGGATGTCATTTGACATCACTAAAATAAAAATGTGTTGGTTGAACATTAATATTGTATTTTAAATGCAATTTTCTTAGCGTTATTTATAAATGACGATATCCCATAGAGGGTTATGGGCAAAAGGCCCATCAAAGAAGTGGACATGAGCGCTGTCAAAGTAGGTAGGTTTGCTGTACTGAATGAAGTCTGAGGCATCCTTGTCGTCCTTGTGATAATTATGACTTGCCATTGCTCACACAAGCCTGAAAAGCTTAACTGATATTTCAGTTATACTGTAAGAACCTATGGCCAAGAAAGACAGAATGTCTGGGGGACATTCACTAGAGTAGCATTAAAAAAAGTGTTATTAGTGACTATAGGCTGTATATTGTTACTGAAATTGTCACAGTTTAAGATTCTGACCTCTGTCTTGTAGACACATGCAATGTGGACACATGATCACACGTTTGAAAGCTCAGGAAGTTTGCGGACTAGGGGTGCGGTTAATGCGGACACAACACAAAGCCTTCAACGGGTAACAACCTGCACAAACAGACTGACGTAAATCTCCAGTGGCATGTACTCACCTGAGAGCAAATTTGATAGGACTCTTCACAAACATGGAAAATAGGAAACTCTTTTAATTAAAGCACAGCTGGAAGCTACACTATATTAGTGTCATAAACATCTGAAGGGATGAAAATGAACAACAAATGCAGTAAACAAAACACATGATGCAACTATTTGTTACATCAGATGAAGTAATTAAGTTGTTTACTTTTAATCTCTGAAATATCATACAGTAAGACTGTTTAGTTGTGCTATCTTACAATCAATATATAAATGTAAGTTAAAGTGTCACCAATGTAACTGGTTAAAACTTGAAGTGGCTATGAGGTCTTAAAATGTATGGAAAGAGTCTTAAAAAAAGTCTTAAAAGGTATTAAATTTAACTCCATGATTCCTGTATATACCCTGTCTACTGGTATATTGTTTTAACTGATATATTTCCACTCTTTATTAGATGTTTTTACGGTGGCCGAGAAGTGCAAAGCAAATCACAATTCTGAAAACAAAATAACAAATTACAAATGCAAATGCAAGTCTAAAAAACAAAATAACAATTCAGAAAGCACAACAACAATTCAGAAAACATTATAACAAGTCAGAAAACACAATGATAAAAAATACAGAGTGTATATTTACATTTAGTTAAAAGTGGCTGCAAAGCATCAGCTCCAGTGGGGCAGATGGAGAAGTGTGTGCCCTTGGTTTTTTGACGCGATCGACCCGGGTTCGATCCCGCCTTTAGCCGAACTTTTTTTTTTGTCCCTTTTCAAATCTCGTATCACATCGTAAAGGCTTTTATTTTCAATAAAAATGAAGGAAATAATAAAAAAGTTGAAAATCGTTGATTGACAGATGTCTCGTCCAGTCAGCGGTGAGTAATCCCAAACCAATGGCACTGTCTCAAACTACACCTACCTTTTCCAGTTTGTCTGATTTGCCGTTGTGTTTTCTGACTTGTTAATTTGTTTTCGGATTTGTCGTTGTGTTTTCTGACTTGTTATTTTATTTTCGAATTTGTCATTGTGTTTTCTGACTTGTTATAATGTTTTCTGAATTGTTGTTGTGCTTTCTGAATTGTTATTTCGTTTTTTAGACTTGCATTTGCGTTTGTAATTTGTTATTTTGCTTTCAGAATTGTGATTTGCTTTGCACTTCTCTGCCACCGTATGTTTTAGATACCATTGTCTAATTCTTGTTCAATGGGGTCTTAAAAGTATAAATACATTTAAATGTCCCACTGTCTGCAGGGAAGATTACATCATTCTTCAAAGATTGGAAACACAACTTTTTTTTCACCTATTCTTTTCTGTGTCCAATGGGATCATTAACTCTAAATTATGCATATTAATGATGTCTACAAAA